TGCCTCATTCCACCCTGGCCGCTGCTCTGTGCTACTGAGTGGAAAAGTTGTGAGCTCTCTATGCACAGAAGAATGTAGCGTATCCCTTATCTCCTAAACCTGTCCCTGTGGAAACTACTTAGCCTTGAGTAACAGTGTCGAGCAGAATAGTGAAAATGATCTTAGCCCCTCCTAGGTGCTCAGTAAATGTCATCTGATATGGAGTGCCTCAGCCAGGGGCATCTCAAGTAGTCTTCACCATCATGTTCCTTATGCACAGCACACCCTTATTGTCCCACTTGCAGCATCTCTAGTTATGACTTCCTTTTTCTCCTCTAAACTGAGAACTGACCTCACTGAGTGGTGGGTCTAAGGCGTCAACTGACTAATAAACTATGTTCCTTTTTGAGTATGTAATGTTAGATTTTCCATCTGAGGGGAGGTTGAGGGTCAAGCAGGACTGCCATAGAAGCTAGAGAGTGCAGTGTGCTTCCCAGATCTGACTGCGACTAATGCTGCTGCAGCTAGAGAGTCTTCCACTTCCTTTCCTGCTCAGAGCAAGATCTTTTTTACCTTCATACAGATGAGAATTTGTATGGAATTTTAAAAACCCACAAAAACAAAACCTTTGTCTTGAGTGTAAACCTATGGGAATGAGGATAATCTCACAATCTGCAATAAAAAGGTCATCTCTTGATCTTGGATGTTACCTGGCAAAGTACATTCAGGATATCACCACTGGCAATGGAAAACTCAGAGTGCCTGCAGCCCCCACACTGTGATTTAGTGAGGGGAGAGACTGAGAGTATTTTTGTCAGAGGAACTGATTCTTTGCTTAGCCTCAATATTTCATAAAAAGCTCATTGCAGCGAATTTTTCATTTGGCAGCATCTGCTGTGCTATCATCTTGATATCTTCACATTAAGTAACACTGACACTTCAAGGTCAAAAGGAAGTCAAATTGACATGAAGAGTATTTAATTGTCAGCTTTTGTTAGTCACACATATATATATACATATACATATATATATATCTTCTATAAAGAGGCAGCCAAAGCATGTAATCAGTGTTTGCAGGAAAAGGAAAAGTTAGGAATCATGGAATCATTGGGCAAATAAAAAAGTTAAAATTTTAAGATATGCAGCACATAGTAGGAAGATCACTAGAATGAACATTATACTTAATTCTGACATTGTTGACCTTCAAGTCATTTACACTGCAGGTCTCAGTTTCCCCAACAGTCATTTAGGAGAATGAACTACATTAATTATAGTCTTTACTCTTATCCCTATTCTAAGTGATAAGTTTTCTGCATACCATTAGAATGAACTTCAGAGATGTTGCAAAATATCAAAACATACTAGGGGAAAAAGAGATTTTGTTTTGTTTTTTAGGTTTTTTGTTTTGTTTTGTTTTCTGAGCACTTAAATAGTAGAATGGGCAGCAGTTTCTTAAATGAATGGATTTAATGCAGTCAAATGCTTTACCACTGAACTATACCCCCACCACAAATGAATGGATTTAATGGAATGGAAATCACAATGGTTCTTATAAGTCAGGGAAATGAGCCTGCAGTGTGCAGGGACTAGACTAGAGGAAACTGGCCTGTTTTCATTTCCAGTGGAAAGCATAGGATTCTGTGGCAATAAAGGACCTTTACTAGGACTGTTTTAGAGGTTATGAGATTATATGTAGCCTGTGTAACCTAGTGGACAGAGAACAGGATGTCAAGTACACTGTGCCTTTACCAGTGGCCAATCCTGAAATGACTGAGAAACATCTGCTTCTGAGCAGTCTTGGAAAGTTAGGTATTCTATTTGAGGATAATATAAGCATTTGTTTCTGGAATTGTGCCCAGTAACCCAGAACACACAAAAAGGTCTTAGGGTGATTCGATCAGTGTTCTTGTAAAGGAACACCAAAGCCTCAGATTCTGTTACTGGCAAGACAGAAATGCATTATAAGGGAAGACAACATGTTTCATGGGATGACAACATGTTTCATGGGATGATGGCTTGGCCTGGAGGGTGCTCAGGAGAATTAACTGACAGCAATTAGGAGCAATGATTAATGCTAACCTAAACTTCTGGGAACCTTGCCTAAACACACTCTTTAGGATATGTTGGTGTTTGCAACATTGCTTTTTGTTTTGCCTCTGCAACCTGATGCAGTTTTGGTTAAGGTCCTGGTTAGTCTCTGTTGGCCCTGTTTTTGAGACATACAGGGACATCCTCAGACACACTTTTTCTCCTATTTGGTCATCTCACACACTATCCACAGTTGTACTTTGAGAGGTATATTCACCTTTCTGGCATATTACTGTTTTGTGACACTCACAGAATCTGTGGCCATAGTGCTGCTTCCATAAACTGGTCTGTTATTTGGGTTCTTGGATGTAACATTGGTATCCACTGTCAAAATGATAGACCAATGCCTGTGTGTCCATGGGCCTTGTACACTTTGGCCTGGGAATGAGGGAAATGTAAGGACTAGGGGATATTAAAAGCAGATTGTAAGTGACTTTTCTTCGTTCCAATTTCTCAGGCTGAACTGGGTTAGGTTGGGTGGACAATGAGAGCCTCTGGGAAGAAATGGGAGACACCTACTTGACATCAGTCTAAGCCTTTTTCTTTGGGTGCTTTTGTTGCTGTTGAGAAGTCAGGGGACATTCTGTAGTTCAGGAGTTGATAAACTATGACTCACGAGCAAAGTAAATCCTGCAGCCTATTTTTTATAAAGTTTATTGGAACACAGCCACAGTCATTTATTTACATGTTGTCTCTGGATGTTTTTGCACTAAAACAGCAGAGGTGAATAGTTGCAGCAGAGACTGAAGCCTGCAAAGTCTGAAATATTTGCTGTTTGGTCCCGCAGAGAAAAAAATGTTTGCTTAATTCTGCTATAGTTCTTTCTCAATAATCAGCTCTTTGGTATTCTGTGGTTGCTAAAATGAATTTAGGTGTGAATTTTTTTTCTGCTTTTCTGCTTTGGAATTACTGTATTTTAACCAATTCTTAGCCATTAACTCTTTGAATATTTTCTCTCCCCCATCTCTCCTCTGTTCTTGAAACTCTGATTAGATTTATGTTAGAATTTCTCATCGTATTCTTCATTTATCTTTACCCTCTTTCATATTTTCCTTCTCTTAGAATTTTCATGCTGTGTTCTGGATAGTTCTCCAGATCTCTGATACACTAATTCCTCCGTTGTGGCTAATCAGCTCTTAAACCTATCATTGAATTTTTAAGCTTGTAATTGCATCTTTTTTAAACAAAAGCTTTAGAAGTCCTATTTGTTTCTTTTTCAAATATGGCTGGACATCTTATTCATATTTTACATCTCCTCTTTCATTTCCGTAAACGTATTAAGCATACTTAATTTAAAATTCTGTGCTGCTAATTCTAGTGTATGAAAACATCGTAGATCTGATTCTATAGTTCTGTCCTTACTGGCTCTCAAGGTGCTAGTTTACATGTGAGTTTTGTGATTGTTTCTAATGATGAGCTCACATTTCTTGGATCTTTTCTCTGGAAATTCTTCAAGCATTTTTAGTTGTTGTTCAGGGTATGTAGCACACCATACTGCCAGAGAGTTTTTCTAAACCATGTTATCCGTACCAGCTATACCAGAGATCTCCAAATGTTGCAGGTTATTAAGTACTCGCCTGGACCATTAATAAAGCTAATTCTTTGATGTTAAATTGCTTATCATTTCCTGCACTTTCTTCTTGCTTTTGATTTGGTCCTTGAAGACAGGAAAGTGAATCTTAATTTCTTGCTGGGATCCACGGTGATATGATACAAGCTAAGAACCCTTTCACATCTTGAAGTCCTGTTTGATTGTTTTTCAAATCTGCCTTGTCATAACTCTCCTACGCCTAACATTCTTGAGAATTGGATATGAAATCTGTGTCACTTCACTTCCTAAAGCTATTTCAGGTGACTCCTTCTGCCCACTTGTGAAAATTCTCCTGCTCTCTAGAAGCAAATGGCATTGAGTATACCACTTTCTATCTCACATTGTTCATGAAATCTACCCCTGTAATAATCATTCCCATTCCCTCACCGTAGACTCTGGGTCTGCTTCTTGGTCTTTTATTCCATTTCTAGTTCTGACCTCTTCTTAACTGACTTTAGAATCTTCTCAGATTTTTTTATTTCTTCTTCAAAATAAACTCAACCACTATACTTCGGCTGCCCACTTCCATAATCACAATGAACTTCTCCATCTTGAAAATCATATACCAAGACCTTCCTCTTTTTGTAATTTCCTGTTTATTTAGGTCACTCACTAAGTTAATCCTAATATATCAATTCTTTGACCTCAGTGAGACACCCATCCTGTTTATCATCTACCTTCAATGTTTCAAATATTTCCTTTTTTTTTGTCCTCATCCAGCTCGTATTTTATAATTCAAGACTTCAAACACTTCTTAACTAATTCCCTAAGGTGACTTGCCACATCCTCTTTCTATTCTTACTTGGTTAAATTCTAGTCATGGATGAAACAAAATGTCCTTTTTCTCTATGTCCCTACTTGGGCTGATGAGTATTCTGGAAGAAATATCATGATTTTCACTTTGGTAGTGGTTGACTAGATTATTTGGACAAATTTATCTTAATGAAAATATTTTTAAATGCTGATACAGTATTAAAATATCTCTTTTAACATGCTTAAGAATTTTTGCATATATTAAGGAATTACCAGACAAAATTTAAGAAAAACTGGAAACTCAAAGAAGTAACCTGAAAGGTGAAGTCATTTGACTCATAAGCATTTTCTGATGCTGGAAAAGTTGTGCTTGTTTTCGGTGGCCTCATAGTACAAGGAATCATGATTTAAGGCCCAGGGCCAATATTAGTGGAGAATCTAATGAGACTTTCTTCACATTAAGCCAGAATCACAAAGGGCTAGGCTCTCAGGAAAGGGTGAGTCAGAAAGAAATTTTTGGAAAGATTGTCTTGGAACTACACACAGAAGAGGAAAAAAGGAAAGAAAAATTACTTTCTGAAAAGTGTATGTGCTCACTTTGGCACATATACTAAAATTGGAGTGATGTGGAGAAGACAAGCATGGCCCCTGAGTAAGGATGATACGCAAATTCGTAAAGTGCTCCATATTTAAAAAAAGAAAGAAAAGTTGTGACTACAGGCCAAACTTTGTGCAGATTTGCAGACTAAGTTCACATATCTTGAAGGGGTCTACAGAAACCTCAGGGCAAAATTTTACTTTAAGGTGGTTCTAAACTGGTAGTTCCCTTGGTTTCCAGGCAGAGATAAATTCAGATCCCCTTTGGGGGTAGATGACTTTATAGATAATGTTAGATAATGTTAAACTTCAAGAAATCCCCACAAATATTTTTCAGAGAAAATGAAAAGTATATAGCCAAAAATGAAATCAAGAACACAAGGCAACAGACTATGTTCAGAAGGAAACATTAGGAGTAACACACTGAAAAAATAGGTCTACAAAGACCACAATTTGGATGCATTGGACACAAATTGTAAATATTTTTGCTTACTCTACATAAATAAGTGGCAAATCCAGGAAATTCTAAAATTTGACAGTCTAGCAGACTCAAAAGAGTCATGTAAAACTTCTAGAAATGAAAAACAAAAAGTGACTCCAGTTAAACTTATTCTGGATTTAACAACAAATTATCCACAGAACTTATTAGGAAGGTGAATAGAAATAAGGATGAGAAAAAAATAAACATAATAAATCACAGAGAGACAAAAATATAAAAACTAAAAGGTTATTAGGGCATAGAAGAAGGTATAATGTACATTTCAATTTGAGGAGGGAGAGAACAGGGGCAGAGGCAATACTTGACAAAATAACGACTGAGAATTTTGCAGAGCTGATGAAATATACCAATCCAAAGATTAAAAAAACAATAAAATCTTAGGCAGAATAAATGACTTCATACGTAGATATTTTACAGTGAATTGTATAACCCAAAGAAAAAGGAAATATCCAAAGCAGCCAAAGAAAAATGTCAGAATACTTTAAAAGGAGCAGGAGCTAGGCTGACTGTTGACTTCTCAGTCCTAGCAATGAAAGCCAGAAGTCAGTGCAATGATATCTCCAAATTGCTGAAAGATACACATGCCAAGTTAGAGTTCTATACCCTGAGAAAGATCTTTAAAAAATAAAGGTGAAATAAGGTCCCTTTCAGACAAACAAAAATAAGGAGTGTTTGTACTAGTATAACATCACTAAAGGAAATTCTAAAGGAAGATGAGCCCAAATGAAATGCCCAAAATGAAAGAGGGAATGGAAAGTAAAGAAAATGATAAATACATGGGTAAATAAAAATGAACACATATGTATAAGATGATAATGTATTATAGAATCAAAACAGTATTAAAATACATGATAATGATGATGCAGTGGGTGAGTAAATTCAGTGAAAGCATGCTACAGTCTTAATACCTGGTAAGAAGGTAAAGGTATTGATTACCTTTAGAAATATTTGTTTAATTAAACAAAAACTTCAGCAAAGGAAACCATTGACAAAATGAACAGACAACCTACTGAATGGGAAAAGTATCTGCAAATAATATGATTGATAAGGGATTAATATCCAACACATCTAAACAGCTCATGCAACTCAACACCAAAAAAAGCAAACAACCTGATTAAAAAATGGGCAGAAGAACTGAATTGACATTTTTCCAAAGAGGAATTGCAGATGGCCAACAGGCACATGAAAAGATGCTCGGCATTGCTAATCATCAGGGAAATGCAAATCAGAACCACAATGAGATATCACCTCTCACTGATCAGAATGACTGTCATCAAAAAGAACACAAATAAGAAATGTTCGTGAGGTTGTGGAGGAAAGGGAACATTTGTACGTTGTTGGTGAGAATGTAAATTGGTGCAACCAAGTGGAAAACAGTGTGAAGTTTCCTCAAAAAACTAAAACTAGAACTATCGTATTGCCCAGCAATTCCACTCACGGGAATGTATGTGAAAAAATAAAAACACTAATTCAAAAAGATGCGTGTATCTCAATGTTCATTGCAGCATTATTTACAATTGCCAAGACATGGAAGCAACCTAAGTGTCCATTAAAAGATGAATGTATAAAGAAAATGTGGTGTATATATATACAATGAAATACTACTGAGCAATAAAAAAAGAATGAAATTTTGATGTTTGCAGCAACATGGATCGACTTGGGAGCATTATACTGAGTGGAATAAGTCAGACAGAGAAAAACAAATACTGTATGATATAACTGATTTGTGGAATCTAAAAAATACAGCAAACTAGTGAGTATAACAAAAAGGAAGCAGACTCACAGACACAGAGAACAAACTAGTGGTTACCATTAGGGAGAGGGAAAGGGGGGAAGGCAATCTGGGGTTGGGGGAGTGGGAGGTACAAACTATTGGGTGTAAGATAGGTTCAAGGATGTATTATATAACACAGGGAATATAGCCAATATTTTGTAATAACTGCAAATGTAAAGTAAGCTTTAAAAATTATAAAATTAAGCAATAAGAATATACTTTATGTACTTTTCTGTATGTTATATTTCAAAATAAATAAAAAAATTAATCCAATTATTTGGTCCACTATAAATTTATGGTCTTCAACTTTAGTCAATAGTAGTTTAATCCTACATGGTTTCCATAGTCATGTCCCTCACATGCTATTAAAGAATGCTTTCAAACATTCTCCAGTCTCTCTGATCTCTTACTCTTCTACTCCCAATCTTTTTCCTCCTCTTCGACATACAACCTTACCTCCTAATTCAGAGTATACAGCAGCCATAAGATGAGCACTCCCTCAACTTCCTGCTACAAACATTGAAACTTTCTCAACAGCAGAATCAATTGTTTCCTGATTTTTTCCTGTTAAGAGGACTGAGTTGTCCCTTGTTGATTCTAAGACTAATCCTCTATTCCTTGTTAGGAGTTTTGTTCTCCCTACCCCATTTCCCACCTATACAACACCCTTCTCTTTAATGGACCCTTATCCTTAGTATTTAAATATATTCCAGTTTAAATACTATCTATCTGAAAACACATACACACAGACTCAATCTTTGACCCCAAAGTTTCCTTTTAAATAATCCTGTCTTTCTCGTAACCAAACTTCCTGAAAGCATTGTTTCTGTGTTCTGTCTCTGTTTACTCACTTCCTACTCAATCCGCTAGAATAGCAATTTTCTGATGTCAAGACCCTTTTTAGACTCTTGAAAATTATTGAATTATTGAGAGAAGCTCAACCAGCTCTTGTTTAGGTGGTTAGCTACAAGATACTGTCTATTCGAGATGCTTACCTTTTCCTTTTAGATGGGTAAATACTCTAGCCTCTTTATTACTATCTCAAGTAAACATCACAAGAGTAGAATTTATGTCCTACTGATCTTGGAATTCTGGTAACTGACTCTGAACTTGGTACTATTCTGGGCTATTATTAACTCTGGTTATTTCCCTCATCTCTCTAATTCTTTGTTGGTAAATGTGAAAAAATTAACAAGTATTTCAGCTGCATTTCTTTTTAGGTTTTTTTTTTTCAGGTGCTTTGCATAGATTTAAAACAAAATAGAAGAATATTTTAGGAAACAGGAGTCCAAAGCCAATTCACCCCACTCCTCATAATATATGAAAAAAACAAAACAAAACAAAAAGATCCAATTTCACACTCCAGCAAAAGTCTGTCCTATATTTGAGAAAATTGCCCCAGGTGTCCATAATGGAACTTCTGCTTGATATTCTAATATGCTAAAAAGATGGTTTCTCAGGAGATGATAATTCTCTGAAAAGTGACTGAGAAACAGCTTTGTCAACAGCAAATTAAAGTAAAGCTAAGATACAATATTATTATGCTAGCCAAATATAGTGGTTTTATTCCATCTTCAGGAAGTGAAAGAGGTATATAAGGATGCCCAGAAACTAAGCAGGGTTGATCAGGGAAGCACACCAACTGAAAGTTTTACATGGTTTTGCTATGAGATACTCTGCCCCCTTGCCTCCGTTGAGTGGAGGGTCTGTTTGTTTGTTTGTTTGTTTTTTGTAACTATATCTCAAAGCTCTTAAAAGAATATATAAGAGAAAAATGACTTGCAGTAAATTCCACTATGTGTGTGAATGGTTCTGTAGCCAGATTCTGGCATCATTTTACACTTTGTATTTAGGCTATAGTTGGGTAAACTTTGGCCAGCCCTGAGATGTGTGTGTGTGGTCTTTGACAAGGAAGATGGGTGCAAGACAGTTGGGGTGGGGCAGGTAAGGACAAAGCTGGGAAAAAGTATATCTGAATGGTCCTTGCATGTAGTATCCAGGAATCCTGGGAGACATGTAGCCATGTTGAATTTAGATGGTATAAATGGAATGGTATAAAAGGGGTGAAATGTAGCTGGTGTTAGTGTCTTGATAAATAAAAATCTGGTGTTAAATACTACCCAAGAATTTGCCTGCTTTAAAAAGTAAAATTAAATTAAAAGGATGATTTCATTCTTCATTAAGTATTCCTAGAGCAAAAACCAAAAAACAGAATTTATTTCCTTTCTGAATCCAATGTTAAATCTGAAATATAGTCTGAGGCAAAGGCAACCAGCTTCCCTGCAACGCCTTAAGCAAGCCCTTTGTGTTAGCCAGCTTTCATTGAGTACACGGGTTGCCCTAGTGATGAATGTCCTGCTTTGTGTGGTCTCAGCATTTTTTCTGGAGAGGCTGTTTTAATGAGAAGGTGAATAGAGGGGCTTCCTTTGAAACTAGGATAAGAGGAGGGCCACTTCTGAAAATGCAAGCATAATGGTGCCATTCCTTATCACAGATCTGACAATCTGCAGAGCCAGCCTGCCTCCCAACTACCCCCACCCACCACCCACCCCCGCCCCTCATTCTCTTCTTTTGGTTAACTACTGTTTTGGATTGGCCTCTGGCCTCAATCTCCTGGAATCTTCTTTTGAAAGTAAAGAGTAACCAACCAATCAGATCTCATTTTGTCACTCTGGCCTCATCTTCTTTCCTCCAAAAAGAAACTATTCTTGGTGTTTCAGGGAAGGACACACCCATGCTCCTTTCTCCTACCTATTTTAAAACACTACACTTTTTTTCAGATTTACCCACGCACTAAGAATTATGCTTCAGCCTGTCTGAACA